TACCAAATAATCCATATTTTAAAAATGGGGTACAGATCTAAACAGGGAATTCTCAACAAAAGAATCTCAAATGGCTGAAAGACTTTTAAGGAATTGCTCAACATCCTTAGTCATCACAGAAATGCAAATCAAAATGGCTCTAGATACCATCTTACACCTGTCAGAATGGCTAAGATCAAAAAACAGTGATGACAGCTTATTTTGGAGAGGATGTGGAGTAAGGGGAATACTCCTTCACTACTGGTGGGAGTGCAAACTTGTACAGACACTTTGGAAATCAGTATGGTGGTTTCTCTGAAAACTGAGAGTCAATCTACCTCAAGACCCAGTGATACCATTCTTGGGTATATACCCAAAGAATGCTCAATCATACCACAAGGACACTTCCTCAACTATGTTCATAGCAGCATTATTTGTAATAGCCAGAACCTGGAAACAACTTAGATGTCCCTCAACCAAAGAATGGATAAAGAAAATATGGTACATTAACACAATAGAGTATTACTCAGCAGTAAAAAAAACAATGACATCATGAAATTTGCAGGCAAATGGATGGAACTAGAAAAAAATCATCCTGAGTGAGGTAACCCAAACCAAGAAAGACAAACATGGTATGAATTCACTCATAAGTGGATATTAGATGTAAAGCAAAGGATAACTAGGATAAATTTACAGCCCCAGAGAAACTAGGTAACAAGGAAGACTTTAAGAGGGATGCATGGATTGCCCTGGGAAGGGGAAATAGATGAGATCTCCTGTGTAAACTGGAGATGGGGGAGGGTAGAGGGTAGGGGATGGTCCAGCTGGGGGAGAGACAGAGTGGGAGAGCAATGAAAGAGAAATCTTGGTAGAGGGAGCCATTATGGAGTTAGGGAGAAACCTGGTGCCAGAGAAACTCCCAGGAGTCCACAAAGATGACTCCTAGCAATAGTGGAGAAGGTGCCTGAACTGGCCTTCTGCTGTAATCAGATTGGTGACTACCCTAATTGTCATCACAGAACCTTCATCCAGTAACTGAGGTAAGCAGATGCAGAGATCCACAGCCAAACCCTGGGCCAAGTTCCAAGGAATCCAGTGGAAGAGGGGGAGGAGGGATTATATGAGCAAAGAGGGTCAAGATGATGGGGAAACCCACAGAGACAGCTGACCCAAGATACTGTGAGCTCATGGAATCTAGACCGACAGCTAGGGAGCCTGCATGGGACCAACCTAGGCCCTCTGCATGAGGTGACAGTTGTGTACCTTGGTCTATTTGTAGGGCCCCTAGCAGTGGGACCAGGATCTGTCCCTGGGCCAAGAGCTGGCTTTTTAGAACCCATTCCCTATGATGGGATGCCTTGTTCAGCCTTGAGGCAGGGAGGAGGAGCTTGGTCCTGCCTCCACTTGATATGCCAGACTTTGTTGACTCCTCATGGGAGGCCTTACCCTTTCTGAGGAGTGAATGAGGGTGCTGGTAGAAAGGAGGTGGAGGGAAGGGAATGAGAGGAAAGGAGGGAGAGGAAACTAAATGTTATGTAAAATAAATTTTTTAAAAAAGATTTAATTCCTCTACTTTTTATTAAGAAATGTGCTCTTTTGCTTTTCTTCTGTTTCTTTGCAATAGGTAATAGAAAGAATGGTCGTAAAAGTCACAGGCTTTGGTAATTGAATCACATGGCATTCTATGGCTAATAAACCTTGGCTCCTGCATGTAGGGACTTGTGGTGTAGACTGGTACCTCAGTCCTCAGGTGGCAGGTAAGAGCACACAGGCTGGAGAGGACAGGAGCTCTCCTGCAGGCGTTTCTAATCAGCCTTTGCCTTAGTGTGCTGCTTTGTTTAATCATCGTCAGAGGTCAGAGTTGAACAGCTAAAACCCTAGATACCTGTGGAATGTGTGCCTGGGTGCAGTTACTCATTCTTGGTATGTCCTTTCCTCCCCTGGCACGGCACTCCAGTGTGCCTGTGGACCTTCTGCTGTCGACAGCCTCCTACCCAAAGGAAAACACTGCAAGCATCTTCAAGTGCACTTCCCCTGTGTGCACATCAGCCTTAGGTTAGAAGTGAATACTAAGCCAGCAGCCTGTACCAAAAGAGTTCTGTGGCTGTCCTACCCAAGAAGTGGACTGGAGAAAAACTGCTTTTTTAAATATTAAATCTGAAGTTGTTAAGTGCAGAGAAGCCCTTGGTACTCTTAGGGTGGTTAGTTATAGCTTTACACTTTGAAATAAAACAAAAAGAAAGGTCAAGATCCTCAAGATACAGACAGTTCAAAGAGAGTTATTATTCTGTACCTAGTTCATGAGACAATATGTTAAGATAAATAAGACATAAAGGAAAAAATACAAAGTCCCTAACATAGCCATTGAACTATCTTCTATTTTAAAAATCAATTATCTTTCTTTTCAGTTCCAAAAGAAACATAAGGTAGTTTTGTTTGCATAGAATTTAATGTTTTGTTGATGTGTGTCTATGATGTCATCATTGGTGTTTACCTGCAAAAAATGAAGCCAGCGCTCCCCTGGGCATTTGACTTCCACCCTCAGAAACAGGGACAGTTTCTGGAGAGCCTTTGCTGAGGAGCCAGGGTTCCAGAGAGAGCTGTGAATGGGGGAAGTGTTGTGATGACTGTTTTTCTAGGATTCCTAGTAATGCGTCAGTTTTCAAAGCCAGGAAAGCAGCCTGTGTGACTTCCAATGCTTTGGAGTAAAGCTTCCTAGCTGTACCTGGGCTGACAGTGTAGTTTTTGATTCTCTGGAGGAGTGTGTGGGGATCCTGTGCAGACACTGTGACAGTCATTCCTTCAGGCTTACTGTGTAATCATGATTGACATCTGTCTGTCATTCCTTCAAGGTACGGTTCATAGACATGTCATGTTAGAGACTCTTTCCCATCTTGTGTGGATAAATTCTGTAATTTTATTTGTGAGACTAGAGGTAGTCTCTGCCATGGTGATTTCATGGCTAAGCAATACAAGTTTAGATTCTATTATTTCTAGACATGATTTAGTCCTGAAAGAATTCACGTGCTTTGCATCTTTAAGTGTTCAGTGTAGATGGATTAATATATGTTTATGCAACTGTGTATTTTACAGCCACTTTGGAATTCAATATGGTGCTTTCTTAGAAAATTGGGAATCAACCTCCCTCAAGATCCAGCTATACCACTCTTGGGCATATACCCAAGGAATGCTCAATCATACCACAAGGACACATGCTCAACTATGTTCATAGCAGCATTATTTGTAATAGCCAGAATCTGGAAACAACCTAGATGCCCTTCAACTGAAGAATGGATAAAGAAAATGTGGTACATATACACAATGGAGTACTACTCAGCAGAGAAAAACAATGACATCATGAAGTTTGCAGGCAAATGGATGGAACTAGAAAAAATCATCTGGAGTGAGCTAACCCAGACTCAGAAAGACAAACATGGTATATACTCACTCATAAGTGGATACTAGATGTAAAGCAAAGAATAACCAGACTGCAACTCACAACTCCAGGAAGGCTACCTTGTAAAGAGGACCCTGAGAAAGACATGGGATTGCCCAATGACAAAGAAATGGAGGGGATCTACATGAGCAAACTGGGAATGGGGGGAAGGTAATGGAGGGCAAGGGACAGGGGAAACAGAGCTTAGGGGAGTGGGAGGTCCCAGATGGATCAGGAGCAGAGTAGGAGAACAGGGAGGGAGATACCATGATGAATGAAGACCCCAGGGAAATAGGAAGAAGCAGAGTGCTAGAGAGGTCCCCAGAAATCCACAAAGATACCTCCACTATAGACTACTGGCAATGGTTGAGAGAGTGCCTGAGCTGACCTGCTCTGGTGACCAGATGGCTGAAACACCCTAACTGTCATGATAGAACTCTCATCCAGTGTCTGATAGAAGCGGATGCAGAGATCCACAGCCAGGCCCCAGGTGGCCCTCCGGGAAATCCAGTCAGTGAGAGAGAGGAGGGATTGTATGAGCTAGAGATATTGAGACCATGATTGGAAAAAGCACAGGGACAAATAGCCAAACTAGTGGAAATGCACGAACTGTGAACCAGTGGCTGAGGAGCCCCTATGGAACTGGACCAGGTCCTCTGGATAGGTGAGACAGTTGATTAGCTTGAACTGTTTGGGAGGCCCCCAGGCAGTGGAGCCGGGACCTGTCTTTGGTGCATGAGCTGGCTTTCTGGAGCCTGGGGCCTATGCTGGGACACTTTGCTCAGCTTTGGTGTAGGGAGGAGGGAACTGGACCTGCCTCAACTGAATGTACCAGGCTAGACTGTAGCTAGAGTTTTCCTGCCTGGCCCACAGTCAGGACAAATCTCTCTCACCCGCCAGCCCCACAGCAGCTCAAACCCGACCAAGTAAACACAGAGACTTATATTGGTTACAAACTGTATGGCCGTGGCAGGCTTTTTGTTAACTGTTCTTATAGCTTAAATCAATCCATTTCTATTAATCTATACCTTGCCACATGGCTCATGGCTTACCGGCATCTTCACATGCTGTTTGTCATCATGGCAGCTGGCAGTGTCTCTCTCACTTAGCCTTTCACTTTCCAGCTCTATTCTCCTCCTTGTCCCGCCTATACTTCCTGCCTGGCCATGGGCCAATCAGTGATTTATTTATTGACCAATCAGCAACACATTTGACATACAGACCATCCCACAGCACTAGACTGACTCCCCAGGGGAGACCTTGCCTTGGAGGAGGTGGGAATGGGAGGTAGGTTGGGGGAAGGGCTGGGGGGGTGGGAGGAGGGAGGATGGGGGATCTGTGGCCAATATGTAAAATTAAGTTAATTATAAGATTTTTTAAAAAAGATTATATATGTATATGTATACACTGAATTGTGGGCACTAAAGGTTTTATTGTTTTAAGCAAATAGTTAATAGTGTGAATCCTTGAGGCTTTTTCATCCATCCACATTGTTATTTTATGTGCTTCTCTCCTTCTCCTGTATTTACCTCCCTCCCCCTTTCCTAAGGAAAACCCTTTCCTCCTATCAAATCAATTTAATCCTAAAACTATGGAATGCTTCACCAATCTGTGTGTGTCATCCTTGCACAGGGGCCATGCTAATCTTCTCTGTGTCACTCCAGGTTTAGTATATGTGCTGCCAAAGCGAGCAAGGGGTTGAGTTTAATACCCCACTCCCATCAATAGCAAGTCAACAAACTTCAAGTTAAAATGTGCCATAGATCAAATGGACTCACAAGACTTCTACAGAATGTTCTATACAATCACTGAAGTCACATCCTCCTCAGCAGCTCATGAGTCTTTTGCCAAGACAGAGCACATTTTAAGATGTAAAGCAAGGTTTAACAAATAAAAAGGTAATTTTTGTATCCTATCAGATCATAATCTCAATAGATGAAGAAGTCTTTGAAAAAATAAATTCATTCTTGATTAAAGCCCTGAACAAATCAGGAAAAGAAAGCTCACACCTGCACACAATACAGTGTACTGTGATAATCCTACCAACAGCATTGTACTGGATAGGGACTAACTTAAGTTAGTTCCTCTAAATACAGGATAGAGCCAAGAGTGGCCATTCCCTCAACTATTATTTAATACAGGGCTTGAATCCTCAGAGAAATAAGGTGAGAGAGAGAGAGATACAAACCATCAGGAAAGGAAGAAGTCAAATTACTCCAATTGCAGATGAAATGTTTCTATGTTTAAAATCCCACGGGGCTTACAGAGCACTTGCCTGGCATATGGAAGGCTCTAGATTTGATCCTCTGAACCACATACCAAGAAAAAGGCTCTGAAAACCATCCAGGGTCTAGCAAGATGTCTCTGCAGGTAAATAGGCTGTGTGGTGATATTGTGTTCCCCAATATATTATGCACCCTAATAAACTTATCTGGGGTCAGAGAACAGAACAGCCACTAAACAGACATAGAGGCCAGAAAATGGTGGCACTAACACCTTTAATCCTAGCATCCCGGAGGCAGAGATCCATCTGGATCTCTGTGAGTTCAAAGCCACACTAGAAACAGCCAGGCACAGTGACTCACGCCTTTAATCCCAGGAAGTGATGGCAGAAAGCAGAAAGGTATATAAGGCGTGAGGACCAGAAACTAGAAGTTTTTAGGCTGTTAAGCTTTTAGGCTTTTGAGCAGCAGTTCAGCTGAGATTCATTCTGGATGAAGACTCAGAGGCTTCCAGTGTGAGGAAAGGAGATCAGCTGAGGAATTGGCAAGGAGAGGTGGCTGTGGCTTGTTCTGCTTCTCTGATTTTCCAGCAATCACCCCAATGTAGCACGAATCTTAGAAGGTCTTATTAATAAAAACAAACCTGGAGCCAGGTATTGGGGTGAACACTGGTGGATGAGAGAAGCAGAACAAGCCACAGCTACCTCACCTTGCCAATTCTTCAGCTGATTTTGTTTCTTCAGACTGGAAGCCTCTGTGTCCTCATCTAAATGGATCTCAGCTGAACTGCTGCTCAAAAGTCTAAAAGCTTAACCAGGCTCTAGTTTCTGGTCCTCACACCTTATATACCTTTCTGCTTTCTGCCATCACTTCCTGGAATTAAAGGAGTGAGTCACCATGCCTGGCTGTTTCTAGTGTGGCTTTGAACTCACAGAGATCCAGATGGATCTTTGTCTCTGGAATGCTAGGATTAAAGGCATATGCTACCACTGCCTAACCTCTATGTTTAATATTGTGGCTGTTCTGGTCTCTAACTCCAGATAAGTTTATTAGGGTGCACAGTATTTTGGGGAACACAATATCACCACACCCCAAAAACTGGCACTGGGTTTGTTTTTATTAATAAGACCTTTTAAGGTTCATGCTACAAGGCTGTCTGCACAAGACTGGAGATCTGAGTTCAATCCAAGAACACCATGAAAAGGGGAACACAGTGGCATGCCTTTGAAATCCCAACACAGGGGAATCACCTGGAAGCTGAAGGGCCAGCTAACCTGGAGTACCTGCTGGGGATTTCTTTCTGTATACTGTGAATGTTGCTCTGATTGATTGATAAATAAAATGCTGATTGGCCAGTAGCCAGGCAGGAAGTATAGTATAGGCAGGATAAACAGAGAGGAGAATTCTGGAAAGTGGAAGACTGTGTCAGGAGACGCTGCCATGTAAAAGAAGCAAGATGTAAAAGTACTGGTTAACCATGAGCCACACGGCAAGGTATAGATTAACAGAAATGGGTTAATTTAAGATATAAGAACTAGATAGCAAGAAGCCTGCCGTGGCCATACAGTTTGTAAGTAATATAAGCCTCTCTGTGTTTACTTGGGTCTGAATGGCTGCAGGCCCAGGCAGGACTAGAAAAAACTTCAGCTACAGTTCCCAGCATGGAAAAAAGTACAGGAGAGATTGCCTCAACAAGTTGGAAGAAAAGAACTGACTCTCGAAAGTTATCCTGTGATCTCCACACACAGTATAACACACACACACACACACACACACACACACACACACACACACACACCAAGAGAAGCTGTGGTAAAGCATCTCTGGATTTAAATAAACAGGGCAGATTATGAAAATATGTTTGCACACCTCTGAATATACCCATAGCCACAGAATTGTGCACTGTAAATTGGTGAGGTATATGATGTTAGTTATATTACAATAAAGCCATTCCTGAAGAGAAAACGTGTGAAGCCAAAGTCGTCTAGACTATTAATTTTTGTTTCACATCCTGAAGGGAGCTGGGCAATAATTTTGTGGAAAAGAAATTTTAATTTTCTATGTACCAACATAGCTTGTGTGTGTGTGTGTGTGTGTGTGTGTGTGTGTGTGTGTGTGTTTGTGTGTGTGTGCATGTGTAAGGTAGACTCTCCAGTTCTCTAATTTTCATAATACATCTTAATCCTAATGAATTTCCTCAAGCAGCTGATTCTGAGACTTCCTACTTTATAAGGTTTTCAAATACAACCAAACTTAAATGAAAATAGTCAACAGAATGTCCAGGGTGTCTGGAAAACTGCACTGAGCTGATCATACACCGTGTTCAAATGCACTGAAACGTCACATGGTGCTCCCAAAATATATGCGATGTGGCTATAAGGTATTTACCAAACACTTAACATGAAATTCACATAACCCATATAAAATCTTGGTTTGTCTTTAAGTAAGACCTGTTCATCAAGGGTGTCTGTGACAGGGTAAGGAACATGACATCGACAGTTTCCCTTAGCACAGGCTCTGCTGCTGGCATTATGGGATGGTTCTAGGCACAGCCTTCCTTTGAGTCTCCTCAACATCCCAGATTAACACACACAAGAGATGGTCCCTCAAAGGCAAAGGCAGGAGAAGCTTCTCTGAAAGGCCACTATGTTTCCCCTTCTTGTTCCTGAGCTGTGAGACTGACAAACCCCCTCTTGTTATGGTCTCAAGAATTCAACTTAGGTCCTGCTCCTGCAGAAGAGCTGGGTTCCATTCCCAGCTTCCACATGGGGACTTCCAACTGTCTGCCACTCCAGTTCCAGGGGATCCAGTGCCCTCTCTGGCCTCCAGGGGCACCAGGTATGCAAGCAGTGCACTTACATACATGCAAGCAAAACACTCATACACAGTAAATAAAAATGAATAAATCACTTAAAATGTAACTCAATTCAGCTTTGAGGGCCATTTACAGATCCTTAGACACAGTTATGTTCAGAAAAGGTTCTGCATGTGTGTGCATTTTAACACAGGTTTATTAAAGAGAATGCACTGTTGGAGAGGCCTGTGTTAGTACCATAGGAAAGGCTCTTCTGTGCAAATGCCCAGGCCTGGACACATGGTGCTCAATAAATATGTGTCACCATTAAACTTTCTGTGTTTCTAAAACCAGACGAGCAATTATATCTCTAGTATTACACAAGAAAAGAAGACAGCATTGCAGATACACAGTCACTGAAAGGTTTACAATCTGGTTATTTTGGCCTTTAATTTTTCTGTCTGTTCAAACTTTTTCCACACTATCTGAGTAAGAGTTGTAAGAAGTTGGTGAATATCTATATAGCAAACCAGAGATTTTTGGAAAATTTTTAAATCGTGAGATAAAGAAAAAGAATAAATTGTTCCGGTTCCTTAAGTACCAGTGTTAACAAATTCCTTTTGCACTTGTGGTAACCTCACTGCTTGATAAAACTTTACCCACCTAACATCAATTTTATTTACCTTCACACATTTGGAGATCAGAGGTTGTACATCCTCAACGCACCACTGTGAACACTATACCCTCTACAGACAGATGACATGGCCAGTAGTCTGCATTTCACACTTGCAAATGAAGCTGCAAAGGATTTCCCAGCCCTGCCTGCCCACACTCACCAGGGTCAGACACAGGAGCCCAGTCTCCTTGTGAACAGGATGGGAGGAGAGCTGCAACTTCTCCCCGGGGCTCTGGTTTCTGCCCCTCAGCGTCCTGGAGCCTCTGCTTCCGGGCCACCTTTGCTGTCCTCCTTCAGGGGCCGCGACCTGGGTGGCTCCCAAAGAGGAAAGGAAGTAGCCTGCCGGGACAGCATGGGGTGGGAGCAGGGGGGTGGGAAAGGGACACCGTGGGGGAGGGGCCCTGTGGGGCCCTGGGATTGGTGCACCCCAGCTCAGGGCGAGCTTCCAGAGAGCTGGGCAGTCTGCACAGCACCGAGGGTCAGGCCCACACCAGTGCAGGAGGATGAGAAATCAGCATCCAGAATCCAGAAGAGACAAAACGAAAGTAACTGTTTCTGGAGAGCAGGGGAGGGGGTGTTTAGCAGACCGGGGAAAAGAAGCAGGAGGCGAATATCTGCTTACCACAGAAAGGGACAAACACGGGGTCTGGACAGCCCAGGATATGGCTTGTTAAGCGTCCAGATTGTCAATATAAATTGATTTATAGTTTCATTTTATATCTCAAGAGACCAGTTAATTCACTGTTCACGATTGTAATCCCTATAACCCTGAGGTTGAGGTAGGAGGATTTGGGGTTTAGGTGCCTGAGCTAAATATTGAATTCTATCCCTAAAGAACAAGAAGAGGAGAGGGCACTCAGTGTAGACTGTGAACCTGCAGTCAGATGGTGCAGTGTGTGCAGTACAGGACACTTCATAGACCACAAAGTTCAATATTGAAAACAAGTCAGTTTCATCCTGTAATAGTCTCTGTAACATTCCAGCGTGAATGGGGGAGGGTCACACGACCCCCCCTCCAGCTGAGGAGCTATGGACAGTTGATGACTGCCAGGAGAGGGAAAGTCGGTTTTCTTCAGTAGTGTGGTCCTTGGTGTGCTGACTATCCAGGGGATGATTCTACTCCATGTGTACATGGGCAGCACTGACTGGACTCGGTGGTCATTGAAGAAGGGGAGGGAGAGGGATGGGGAGGGAGAGGAAGGGGAAAGGAGGGAGAGGAAGAAGAAGGGGAAAAGGGGATGGGGAAGAAGTTTTTGGGAGGGGGAATTTGGAGGGAATTCTGTTGTAAGGTAGCAGTGGAGGGTGAGTGAGGCCCAGTATGATTAAAATACATCGTATGTATTAAGTTCTCAAAATTGTTAAAGAATAAAGTTGTTAATAAAGTTAACTTTTATCAGAGTTACAAGGTATACAGAGAAAGTGCAGACTGGGCAGTGTCCCGACTCTGTAAGCATGAGGACTTGAGTTTAGATCCCCAGCACCAGGTGAAAAGCCTGGTAGTGGGAGGGGGAGCAGGGGGATCCCTGGCACTTGCTGACCAGTTATTCTGGCTAAATCAGAAATCCCTGGTTCATTCCTCAGGTTCAGGGCGAGAGTGAGGATAACACTATTGTTGACCTCCACAGGGATGCACACCCACATACAACCACACATGCACATACATACAACATTATAGAAAATCTGACTAGACAGCTTGATGTATATTCACAATGTGACATATTTGTATTTGTGAAACTCAGATTTTTTATAGAACATTTCGAGTACTTCAGAAGGAGGAACAGGAGCACACACCTATAATCTCAGGACTCAGCCTGAGGCCCAAGGTTTGTAAGTTGAAGGACATCCTGTGCTACATAGAGGTTGCTGGCCAGCTTGGGCTACAGAGTATAACTGCTTCTGCTCTCTACCTTGAAAACAAAAGAGCAGAAAGAAAAGAGAAGAGGGAGGAATGGAGAAGGACAGAGGTGGGGGAGGGGAGAGAGCAGCAGTGAGACACACAGGAAAGACAGAGGACCACAGGGCTTCCCTCAAGCTCCATCATGGCCGCCCTTTCCAAAGGTCACCGTGTTCTTCCTTCTGTGCGTTTGTTGTCTACTTCTAGTTAGTTTTTACTTCTATTGTGCAGTAGTGCTGGTACCTAACCCAGGGCTCCAGGCCTGCCCCAGGTATGCCAGAGTTACATCCCCAACTCCGAGGATTTGGTAACTATGTGATCAACTTTCTGGGTGATTCTCTTCATCCCCTAGACCTAACCTGGCCTTTCTCTAAACCCAAGTGGATCTGGGACACCTGCCTTACAGTTCTGTGGCATCTGGAGCTTCCTGGGTCAACAACTCCTCAGAAGGTATGAGAATTTTTGTTTGAGAACCTATGACTCTAGAAGCAGCATTTTCCACTCATACAGGTCACCACCCTTCAAACTCAGTTTTTAAATTATTTTTGTTTAATTGGGTTACAAAATTCTAGATTTCCATATGGCTTTTTCACACAGATCCAGTTTCAGATGAACTTCCTTCCACCCCCTCACCTCCTTTCTCCTCTGTTACCCCCAAATAAACCTTCTTATGCCAGAGTTCCCTCTATATTTTCATATAACACACATTTTAGTGCCCTCCCTAGTAATGACCCTTTTCACACATCCTGGCCTCTACAGGCATCCAAGTTAAACACAGAAATCTAAAAATTTCAAAGACAGACCAACTTTTGTGAGTGAAATTTGTTTTCCCAGGCTTGGATTACCTCACTCTACATAATATTTTCTAATTCCATCAATTTTCCAGCAAATTTCATTTTCTTTACAACTGAATACAATTCTATTGCACACTTGTACTGAAGTGACTAAGGCAAAGCCATCCTGTCCTGACTCCATTTTGGTCTCCTCAGATACTTCTCAGCCCTCCACCCCCAACAGTGATGGCTGCCATGGAAACACATTTGGGATTCCCATGACCACCATGGTCCAGATTTATTAACCAAAGTAATTAGTGATATATGAACTTAAACTAAAATAACCAAAGAAGGTATAAGTCAAAATTAAGTGTTATATTGTATCTGAAATATCCATGTTCTGTCAAAACAAATGATGCAAGCTTATAATCTCTCTCATTCAGCATCAATGAAATTATAGGTTTTGCCTTCAAAATGCTGTACCTCTGACCTTCTGCACCAGGAGACTTTGAGGTATGTGCCCACTCTTGGTCAATGGCCAAAACAAAAGGACTTTTAGAAGCTTAATTGTCTACATTAGTGTGGTGGTCTGTATCTTCCTCTCATGGATTATTTCAGTGCCCCATTTCCATTACGTTCCTCACCCCTGCCATCTCAGCACTGGACAGCTAGGCTATCTCCATTTCCTCTAGTATGTCTAGAGCAGCAATGGACACAGAGGGGCAAGTATCTCTGTAAGAGGAGACAGAGTCCTTTGGATTATGTGGGGGGAGAAAATCCTCACCAGCTGCACCCTTGACAGAGGAATAATAGCCAGAATACACAACAACCTGAAAACATCAAGAAAGCAAATGATACAATAAAGAATAGGCTATGGAAATAAACAGAGTTCTCAACAGAAGAAATGCACACACCAAAAAAAAAAAAAAAAAAAAGAAAAAAGAAAAAAGAAACAAAACCCAATGGATAATAAGTATTTTTTAAAGTGCTCAAATCCTTACCCATTGGGGATTTGTAACTTACACGATTTGAGGTCTATCTCACTCCAATCAAAATGGATACCATTGAGAAAACTATTGGCACCAAAGAAGGTGGGGATGTGGGGGAGGGGAAGCCCTCCCTCCCTCGTGGTGGCTGTGTAAACCAACACAGGTGCTGTTGAAATCAGGGAGGGAATTTCTCCGGGACTAAAAATAGAACTACCATATAAGTGAGTATATCCTGGTCCCCAGTTCTATTCCATTGATTGGCATTTCTATATCTGTGCCAGTACTGTACCGTTTCTAATACTACGGCTCCCTTGAATATCTTGAAGTCAAGCATGATGATACCTGTAGCATAATTCTAATATTTTTTTCTATTTCTGTGAAGAATAGTGGAATTTTAGTGGAGATTATATTGAACCTATAGACATTTTCTTCTGGAACAGCGATTTTCACAACACCACTTTTTCATACACCAGGCATAGGGGCACACACCTTTAATCCCAGCACTGTGGAGGCAGAGAGAGATGGATCTCTATACAAATTCAATTATGTTCCTGTTACTATCTAAAGTCCTGAAGATTTTAGAGAAGATGCTATATATTCTCAAGTATCTTACTGTATAGATGCTCAAGCAGTGCTAAGACCTAAGATGATTAGCTAATCAATAACTATTATATCAGTTACTTTTGCTTCAAAATGGGCCATTAAACTTAGTGACTTAAGGTAACAGTTATTTCCTTATCTTACAGTTCTGAGGTGAGGGTGTCAGTGGAGTGATTTTTCTGCTCGTCTGGCTCAGGCATGTAGCTGCAATTTGGTGATGGGTTAGCATGCTCTCTCTCCTGATTATAACACGACTCTTAAAAGGTCTTATTAATGAAAACAAACCCAGTGCCAGTTATTAGGGTGAACACTGAAAGATCAGAAAAGTAGAACAAGCCACAGCTAACCTCACCTTGCCAAGTTCTCAGCTGATCTTGTATCCTCAGACTAAAAGCCTCTGAGTTCTTATCTGAATGGACTGTATGCTGTACTGCTGCTCAAAAGCCTCAAGCTTAACAAAAAGGCTCTAGTTCCTGGTCCTCACGCCTTATATACCTTTCTGTTTCCTGCCATCACTCCCTGGGATTAAAGATGTGTGTCACCATGCCTGGCTGTTTCCATTGTGGCTTTGAACTCACAGAGATCCAGACAGATCTCTGTCTCCTGAATGCTAGGATTAAAGGCGTGTGCTACCACTGCCTAAACCTATGTTTAATATAGTGGCTGTTCTGTTCTCTGACATCAGATAAGTTTATTAGGGTGCACAATATATTGGGGTACACAATATCACCACACCTGATTTTACTTTTTTGTAGGATATTGAGTCACTTCCCCTTTTGTTTGTGGCTACATTACTGACTTATAATTCACCATGGACCATTATCCTTACTTCTTATAGAGTGCTAACTCCCATCTGAGAAGGAAGAAGCAATCTATTTGGCATCCAGCACCAGGTTTTTCCATATCCATGATGAGTTAATAGTATCAACTATGATTGAAATACTGTGGGCTGTACACTTAGGAGTAACCAATCACTTTTTCACTGGATGTAACACCTACTCCATGAGATAGAACCCATACATGACATTACTAAAGTGATGAAGAATCTGACTTATTATGCCATGGCCCTGGGGAAAAACCAGATACTACCACTCTGCCAAACGAATGTAGCAATAAGATGGTTCCTTATGACATATTGCAATACCCATGGTCCGGGGCTTTGTTCAGTCCACATAAGAGAAGCTTTCTCTTACAGTAAATGGAAACTGACACAGAGTCCCACAACTGGACAATATGCAGAGTGAGATACTTTGGAACACTCAGTACTAAATGGATGTCTTCATCAAACCCATCCCCTCAGGGTTCAGGGAGCTATGTGGAAGAAGAAGCGGGAAAAGTGTAAGACCCAGAGATGATGGATGACTCTAAGGACTCAGTATCCTCCAGACTCAGCAGGAGTGACACACATAAAAACTCACAGAGACCATGGCAGCACTAACAAGGCCTGCACAGGTTCAAGCCAGACAGGGTCACAGTACTGAGAGGGGGCAGTGGACACTGGTCCCCACCTCCACCAAGAAGCTATCTGCAATTGACACCCACTTGCAAAGGAAAAATCAGTTTTCTCCAGTGGATACAAACCACACTTAGGGGTAGGTCCCATGCTCAGAAGTGGATGGTCAACACAAACAAACGCAATGGTGTCTTTGTGCTTTTTGTCTGATATTGCTTTGTGTGAGCCTTTTTTAACTGACTGGACTTTTTGTTTATTATGGCTTCTGATTTTGTGTTTTTATAGAGTGTGTGTGTGTGTGTGTGTGTGTGTGTGTGTGTGTGTGTGTGTGTGTTTATTATGGTTTTGTTTGTTTGCTTGCTTTTGTTTGTTTTCTAAAAACAGGAAGAAAAGTCATGGGTTTGTGGGTGGGGAGATGGGCAGAAGCTGGGAGGAATTGGGGGACAGGAAAGCTTGATCAGAATATACTGTATGGAAAAAAAGTTTTCAATAAAAGTATTTTTTAAAACAAAAAGAAAGTGCTACAATTTTCAATGAGCCTGATGAGCTTCACAATGTAATCTCAGCTACCCTCACAGAGTGTTCTGAATTTTCTATTTATGAGCCTGTAGAGAAGATGATCAAAGAGACATAGAAAATGATTGCAGACTCAGAAGCACAGAGGTGGTTTACCTGCAAGGTGGGATGGCAGCCATCATCAGTTGTAAGACTTTACTCCACATTGCTAACAAGTCAGAACAGGGGTCTCATTTTGGCGTCTAGATCATTACCTCTGTATATTCCCCCAGCATCCCTCATGAGTAGGGATCTAGCCCTTGTGTATTTCCCCAGCATCCCTCATCTATAGGAAACCAAACACAATAAACAGCAAAGACAGAACATCCTTGACGTACATGTCCTGAGAGTACACTCAACCTTTTGCTCCATCTTATTCCTGGCGTCCTGAGTGTCCCAATCCCCTTGTTCACAGAATATTTTAGGGCCTGGTTCTTCTTCCTTTGCTGTTTCTCTTCTTCCATTGTTTAGGTCTCTTCTAATTTTTATATTCTTATTTATGCCCCCACACCCTCCTAAGTTATGTCAGGAGATTTTATAAACACTAGTACAACCTTTTTTATCAAGAATTTTCAGGTTGTGTCTTAAAATAATAAGCTTCTGAGCTTGCCTTTTTACTATGTTTTTCCAGTGGCTGTTTTAATGATAAGTAACAAGAAGGCTGTGGGAAAACACGGACAGTTGAAAATAACACAGCTCCCCTGATTTTGGAAGCCCTGTGGAGACATGCACCATGGAGGGTAGTGGAGACAGCAGACATTGAAGGGACACATTGACCGTTGTGAGGCTTTGGTGAAGTTCCCAGCCAAAACCACTGGCCATGAAAAGAAGCTGTTCTAGACTGTGAAACATAGATATTGCCAGTGGGAAAATGTGGTTTCTAAATATGTTCCACAAATGTCCACTGCGGTGTGGAAACATGGCTCAGTCTGTAAAGCCCTTGCCATTCAAGCCTGAGTGCCTGAGTTTGAATCCCCAGAATCCATGTGAAAGCTCATGCTGTAGTGTGCATATGCAGTCTCAGTGCTAGTGTGCAAGTGGCAGAGACAGAAAAATACCCAGAAACCTGTGGGCCAGCTTGCACAACTTAAAACAAACAACATGGGGAGCATTGACCTCCACAGCAACATGGCACATGTGGACTTTCACTTACACACATAAACAAGCGTCATACAATCATGGACACACACATCATGAGAGAAAGACAGACAGACATCCAGAGAGACAGAGTTTTTAAACAAGAAAACTACTACAGGGCTAAGGGGTTTAATTGCCTTTGTACTTTAATTTTGTAGTTGCAAACCTCTATCGAGCTGAAAAAAAAACAAAAACAAAACCACTTTCCTGTTTTGCTAACACAAGAAACAGCTGATTTCCTAGAAATGCCCCAGTTATAGAAGATGCTCAGCTGCTTTCAGTTTCCATCAGAGTTACATTCCAGGAAATGCCTTTTAAGGGGGGCGGCTTTGGCAGCAATCCTGCAAGGCTGGAAGTGCATTCCATTTGGAGGGAGAACCCTATAGGTCAGATCCCCAGACCCACTCACCTTTTCTTGCTGCCTTTCATGATAGGTATAAATCACTCTTAAAATCTTTCTGTAATCAGACTATATGTAGACGGACCTGCTGCCAGGACCAGGCAGAAATGCTAATCACCATTTTTGACTGTCTCCAAATCTTTCTCTGCAAGAGACATGATTGCAAAAAAAAAAAAAAAATATGAATCATACCACCTGCTCAGAAATCTTAACCACTGCTATTGCCCGGGATATGCACCATCTCCACACCACCCTCTGTGGATTCTTATGCACTCTGACCCCTGCTGCCCTGTTCTAAACCCAGTCTAACTCTCCAGTCAGACTTTCATTCAAGACAACTAGACACCTGCACACACATGCACATACACATGCACACACATGAAAGTTTGATCTGGAGTGGGATGTTTGGACAGCATTGCAAGGGTCTAATTTTGATCTCCAACACTGAAGAGGAGCTAAGGTGCCTTGACTTCCTCAGGCTTTATTATTCCTTTCAAGTGGTGCAGCATGCTCACACCCGTGAGACTCCTCCTCATGCTCTCCTCAGAGCTCCCTGCTCCTCACCCTCACCCCTGTCCCATATTCCCTGCTCCTCACCCTCACCCCTGTCCCATATTCCCTGCTCCTCACCCTCACCCCTGTCCCATATTCCCTGCTCCTCACCCTCAGCCCTGTCCTGTGCTCCTTGCTCCTCACCCTCAGCCCTGTCCTGTGCTCCCTGCTCCTCACCCTCACCCCTGTCCTGTGCTCCCTGCTCCTCACCCTCACCCCTGTCCTGTGCTCCCTGCTCCTCACCCTCACCCCTGTCCTGTGCTCCCTGCTCCTCACTTTCACCCCTTTCATGGACACCCACCAATAGTCATGCTCAGTCTTCTCTCGAGTGACCTCCAGGCATGGAAAACATGGAGGCTGACATACTTTCTGTTAGAGCCTCTAAAGCTGAGTCAGCTCTCCAGCAGTATTTCACTGGGGTCTCTTCATTCTTCTGCACAAATCCCCTTCTTTGCTATGGATTCCTGCAAGGAAAATGTACAGAGATGTGACCAAATGGGAAGAACAGAGGAACTTTCAAAGAACCCGGTAGGAAGTCAGTTTGACTATTTCTCATGAGAAGAGTATTGTGATGTAAGACTTGAAATAAGTCAAAAATCAGAAAACTTGACTTATTCCTGACTAAGAAGAGAGCACTGGCTTCCTCCTCACAGGCTGTGTGCACACCCAGCAGCTCCTGGAGCGTGTCTGTGGGGAGCCTCAGTCGCTGGGCCATCTGCTCACTGTAGTGGTCAGCTACCTTCTGCACAGCTGCTGAGTTCTCACGCTGGGCCAGAGTTGTTACCGCATCATCCAGACAAGGCACAGCTCCACTGCTGATGGCATCCACGTAGGTCGTCACAGGAGTCCCCAGTCCTTCACGAGCCAGAAAAGATACATAAATCTTCAGCTCAAAAAGATCAAAGGATCTGAGATTATGAGTCTAAGATCACAAACACATACTCACGAGCTGGTGGAGTTAGGATGGGGAGCCTTTTATGAGATGTGTAAGTGGCAGGTGCAGAGCTCTTGTGACTGGAATTAGTGCTCTTATACAATGCTCCCCAGACAACTCCCTGGCCCCTTCCACCATGTGAGCAGTGGGCAGTTACCTAGCTGAAGTCTTGCCAGACACCAGCATGCTGCCACCCTGATCTTAAAGTCCCAGGGTCCAAAGCTAGGAAATGATTTTATGTTGTTTTTTAAGCATATCTTGTTTGTGGTCTTTTTAATCCTAGCACCAAAAGACATCAAAATAAACACACCCATACTTACTCTTCCTATCAGAGCCTACATCTTAATATTCTCTCTTCTCTGAACTATAACATTAAACATAAAATTATCACCTCTGTTGGTCAGGTCAGATGGAACTCCAGCACGGAGAGGTGAAGGGGACACACAGTTCCACCCCTAGCTAAGGAGTCACAGCTCCTGGGAGAGGGGAGTCAGGGTTTTTTTTTTATTTTTAATGTTGTAGCCCCTGGTGAGAGGACCACCGTCCAGTGAATGCTATGCACTCAAGAGTATATGGGCCGCAAAAACTGTATTTAATAGGTTTTAAGGAAAAGATATGAAGTTGAGTGGATCCGGAAGGAAGGATGGATGGATGTATCTGGGAGTGTTGGGTCTGGATGTGATCAAAATACATTGTATGAAATTCTTATACAACGAATAAAATAATAGAAAATAAATCTTCAACATTCTGAAACCATAAAGATTGTCTACAAAAAAATACTTTCTGTTAACATAGAACGTAGGCGGGGGAAGTACTGAGATATCAGGCTAAGCCATAGTGTATTTATTTAAAATCACTAAGCATACAAACATTTTCAGTACCTTATAAGTTGGTATTTCTCTTGGACTGGTTTAAACTCCCACTGGTCTACTTAAGAAACCAGTTCTCTATCAGGGATTCAGAGACAGCCAAAGGTTAAGAGCATGTGCTCTTGCAGAGGACATAGGTTCTGTCTCCACAACCACACGGCAGCTTACTAGTATCTATAACTCCAGTTCCAGAACATCTGATTTCCTCTACTAGATGTGAAAGGCACCGTGAATGCATGTAGTCCACATACATATACAGGAAATACAACCATATACATAAAAGAAAGGCAAATCTAAAATTTGTATTAAAAAGGAATCCTTTGTCTTATGTGAATTCACTTAAGAAGATAATGTGCTCTGCTGGTATACTGAGTTGATGCTATTTCATTAAAGATGGGGCCCTTCCTACATGTGGAGACACAACACCACCAACATATTTGAGGAAACTGTGAGCCCTATGGCATGAGCACACACATTTTAATATGGCATATGAGCTGTGGAGGCTTGAATGAGAACGGATCCCCGAGGCTACTGAGTTTGAATGTTTGAGAGCCAGTTGGTGGAACTGTTTGGGGAGGATTAGGAGGCGTGGCCTTGTTGGAGGAGTTCTGGGTGAGCTCTGGGGTTTCAGAAGACCACCCCATTCCTAGAGAGCTCTTTCTCTCTGCCTTGTGCTTGTAGAGTAGAGGTGAGCTCTCAGCTACTGCTTCAGGCATGCCTGCCTGCCTGAGGCCATTCTCCCTGTTATTGTGGTCATGGACTCTAACCCTCTGAAATTGGAAGCCTCCAACAAACTCTTTCTCCTGTAAGTTGCCTTAGTCATGGTGTCTTAGCACAGCACTAGAAAAGTCACTAAGACACGAATATTACCAAATATCTATTTCTATGTGGAAAGGATCTAAACTATTGAATAACATGTACTATAATT